TAGGAAGCTTGTGTCTTTTCTCACACTCCTCTGCCTTGTCTTCTTTGGAGTGGGAAAAGTTAATCTGACTTTGAACACTGCTCAGCAAAATCAGTGCAGATATAACACAAATCAACAGCAACAGAATGAAACCACAATTGTACCAGAAGAAATAGTAAAACAGTAAATGGGGCTGCTTGGGATGAACTTCTATGTTGAATTTAAGAAATGTTGTATGCAAAACTACATGAACAAAAATGTATGTCTATATGCTCTTGAGAAAGAGAGCCTCAAACAGCACAGATAATTCCAACAGGACTCAGGCTAATTTTTCCCCTAGAGTTACATATGGCCTCAAATACAGGAGCCTTATAGTTAACCTCACCTAGGCAGAGTGTAATTACCTCTTTCTGACTAGAAACCTCAAGATGTTTTCTCTCTTCTTAAATTCATTTCTGTAAGAATGTCCTCAACCCCACACCTCCAAGTTGCCACGGAGTGTGCTTGGACAGCCCTTGCTGAGATAAATTACATCAAACACATTGAAATATCAATGAACACAGTATCTTTTGTTGTTGAATTGTCCTGATTTACATCTATCTGTAAGGTGCTGGCTGACAAGGACATGATTTACCTACTCAGAATTCACTTCTAGGCTAATGTGGGCCTTACAAAATTTGATTCTCAATCCATTTCTCAAGTATTCAACACTATGGATCTTCACAAAGTGTTATTCCATCCTTCTGAACCTTATAGCCACCACAGTTGTTACTCCTGCTCCCACTCAAGATACTTCCTAGACATGTGAGCATAGTTTACTGCATAACTGGACATTAAACTCCACATAAAATTGCTGAGCTGAACTCAGAGCTAAAAGATTAAACATTCAGTCTCTAAGTGAGACGCTACACACAGAAGCAAGACACAAGGAGATGCCGTATATATCTGCAAAGCAGAAGGGAAGAACCCCCTCAGACACAGCTGCTGTCTAATAACCATGTTTTATGCAGAATGCTTGGGGGCTACTCTATTTTTATAACTTACATCCATAAAATAAGAAGCTAAAGCTTCTGGAAAGAGAACACAATTACCCAACAATGATATAACAGTCAGAATAAATTAAACACAATCTGTATAAGCAAAAAGAAAAAAGCATCAAAGCATGTTTTTTTTTTTCAATTAGCAGTAGATAATACTTAATAACTGCCCTATCGTCAACCTTCAGAAATGTTCTCCAGAGCCATATGCAGGTTGGCAACCAGGCATGGTGCCTAACTAGTTTTTGCATCTAGTTGTACAGAAGCAGACATATGGAAATGAACAGCCTGGCAGAACAAGTGAACTCTGAAGCAATGACTTCGATAAATAAATGCCTGCACATTGGCAGATGGAGAAAAGCGCAGTAGGGAGGAACTGTATTGCAGCAGCAACTTGATTTTAAACCATTTGTAAAAATCAGCCTGAACTTCAGAATCCAAGCATTTCCAATTCCTTCACTTCTCTTCTTGTTGGGGAAAAATCTCAACATAATAAGAGGGAAGGTGAAGGAAGAAAGATGTATCTAACAAAAGACACCAGAGGCTGCTTCAGGGAACTAAGAATAGGACCGGGAAGTCACTGCTCACTTTGCCTCTTATTACATTGCTAATCACATTCAATAGCTTTCAGAAAGACACAACCAATCATTCCCAAAAGTCCAGAAAAACAAGATGTGGAGAGACATTCTCAAGCCTTAAATGTGAGCACAATGGATACAGGTACATGAAATGCACAGACCCTTCCTGCAGTGAACGGAGACTTGTGCTTGATGCTATAGCCAACTTCTGCATTCATTCCTCTGGAGACCAGTCTGTTTGTAGGCAAATTGAATCTTTCCTATTTCAAGGTTGCAGACTGATTCCTAGTCACCGTTAAATGTGACAGATGAGTGGAAAACAAGTATTACTACTCCCCTGCTGCTAGCAGGGAACCAGCACGTTTATTCTACTTTTTTTTGGGATAAGGCGATTACTTGTCTGATGATCTCAAAGACTTCTCTTCCTACCAGTTATGAAGCATTTTCTCGAGTACGTTCCCTAACACAAATTAACATTAGAGTCTAAGAGATAGTAAAGAAATAGGATTTCATGTATCCCATCACAATGCAATATAGAAAATTCTGTGCAGCACTGGCATTATCCATACACTGTGCTGTGCACAGCCCCGTATCTCTGCCTCTAGCCTCTCTTCACTGATAGCCTCTCCTATATAACAAATATGTATCTTCAGGCATAGATGTAATCTGATGGGGAAGGTTTTCTAAACACACGTCATTCCAGGTCTCCAAAGACAAGAATAAAATAAAGAATTAAAGGGACATTTTAATAATTTGGGATGACCTTCCACCCTAGGATTGCACCATACTGGCATGGTATGCAAGTAGTCAGTGCCTGCGATCATCTTCTCCACTGTGGCTTGTTAGCCACCCTCTACTAAATACCACTGACATGCATGCAAAAACAGCAAACGGCAAGAACTTTTCAGATGCATACTGATTCTCTCCATGCCCAATACTAACCACTGCTGTCAAAACAAGAGAAGGGGAAGAGACACATGAATAAACCAAGGAGAAAATAAACCAGACAGATGGTAATGGCCCAGAGTTAGCTGGTCAGCCTGATGTACCAAGTGCTGTGCTTTTCAAAGAAAACAGTCGGTCCCTTGCTGCTGTCTCCTTTGTGGGTAGCCAAGTGGATGAGCTTCAAGGCTTCAATGTGAAGCCACGGTAAAATTAACTTCAAGATTTTTGTGATGCAAATTAAGATTAATTAAACTCAACTTCAATAAATGAACAAAACTTCACTAAACTTCCCCTTGATAATAGGCCACCCTTTGTTACAAAGAAACATTTTCACTTTCTGACACTTTATCAGTTCATACTACATGTATGACCTATTTTCTTTGCACTGCTTGGTTACACACCATCTCAGAATTCAGATATCTGTAGTACCTCATCTTCTCCTCCCACATCACACAGCAATCAAGAAAACCAGCAGACAATGATGTTCAAAGTACTGTACCTAAATCCAACCCCCACCTTATGCTGAAACCATTCACAGTGGAAATCCGTTTAGAACCCGCTTCATTTTGGTACCATGGGAAAACCAGGGTCTGCTTTCCAAAGACCCTTCTGTGCATCTGTCAGCTCTGTAAGCCTCTACTATGGATCAGGCTATTTGCTTTACTAAATCAGCTGCCCACAATGAAGTCCATGGCAAAGTAAGTACAGCTTTTATTCCAATGAGTCAATGGCTATATGCATGCACAAAGTGAAAATGAAGGTGGATTGCCTTTTCACACATGCCACTGTGGAAATGTTTTGTAACAAATAATAACAGCCTCTATCAATCAAGACTGGAGAACAGATGGAAAAGAGGTTGTGTTGAGAGAAAGGACTCAAACAGAAATACATATTCTCTCCCCCACCTTCCCTGCTCGGGTAACAGCCGAAACTCTTGCAAATCTTCAGATACAGGCAATCACCATCAGTGTCTTCCAATATTCTATGCCACTCTGGCTACTTTATCACCAATGCACAGCAGAATCACAGACACTAACACACCTACAAAACACTGCAACACCAGAGTGTGGGTTTGGGATTCCCCTCACCCCTTTTCTGGATCAATCCCTTTACCCAGCATTACGGACATTTCACCTGTTTTCACATTCAGGAAAGTTTGACAACAGATCTGATCCTGTAAAGACAATACTCCCTATTAGTGATGAAATTCAAACTTCTCTTCTCCTTGAACTCTTCTCAGGGCTAGCTGAATTTCTGTTTTATTACTTTTGTGAGAAAGCATTTTCTAATCAAGTTTTTTAAAACGTAAATATTTACTTGATGTCTGTTCTTTGGTCCAGCAAAACAATTGCTCAACCTCCAGATTTCTCTCCAGTGTTAAAAGCGGAACATTGCAACTTAAATTAAGATTTTGTAATACATGTTGCAGCTAATTTCCTCAAGGCTGCAGATTTAAGTTAAGAGGGCAGTTTGTGGCACACATTTGTATGTAACAAGCATTTTCACCAAAATAATCTAAAACTTTAAATAAATTCTAAATAAAATGTTGGTTCCAAATTTTCATGCATAATAACATCATTGTACATAATCCTGGTTGCAAGAGACTTTAAAACGGATAACACTGTCAACCTGCAACCCCAGATCTTGTTACTTCTTGCAACTGATAATCAATAACTTGGTCTTATTACAACACTGAAAAACTAAACATACCTAAAATATAGGTAAAACATTGTGCAAACACTCAAACACTGTGCATTGTTACATTAGGGATGCATTTATGGCCTATACTCTCTTCCCTCTCTGTGGCAGTGCAGCCTGTATCTGATGGATAATGGCTTCACTCTTGTTCCCTAAACCCCAGAGGAAGGCAGAGAGCATTTCACCATGGCAAGCAAAGCAGGAGTCAGCCCTTGAGATTTCCCATTCTGCAGAGAGGAGCAATTTTACCCTCCAGCCTCAGCTGTTGTGATAAGTATTAAACACAGCAAAACCACTGTGGTTCCCAAACCAGTAACATGAAGTAAATATGTATCTTCTTGGCAGACAACTGATGGCATTTCAGAATTAAACTGACAATGCATATTCAGAAAGGTTGAAAACTACAACCTGGTGAAATCCCTATCAATGAAGAGTGAACAGCAGAAAAGGTTGAAAATCATTCTCTGGCCTCATATGTCACATAAGGGGCTTCTTCCCCCATTTCCTGCCCCCATCCTCTCCAAAAGACTCCCCATCAACACCAAGTTAGAAAAACACTTTGGTATGAATATTAACATTCTCTAACAGTCTAAGCAGCTAAAATAGGGTGTACTTCAAGAACTACCTAACCTTCTTGAAAACAAAACCATGCCTAGTAAAAAAACACAGTCAAAAACCAAACAATTTTGTTGGTATCTTTTTTGCATGGCATATTTTTCAGTTAGTCATGACAATGACAAAAAAAGAACAGTTAACAACATACCTTAGCTATTTGAACACACCAGTTCAGCAGAAGCTGGGAGCCAATATTATCCTTATGCTCATGAACATAATCCAACAGGCAGCCATGAGGCATCAGCTGAGTGACCAGCTGAATGGTTGGGCTTAAGCAGACACCCAGGAGTCTCACCAGGTGGGGGTGGTCCATGCTGGCCATGATAAGAGCTTCCTGTAACAAAAAAAAAGATTATCCAGTTACTCCAGTCTGCTTAAAGACATTATGCATAGAAAATTTTTAGGCCTCATTTGGCAAGGTATTTGATTAAGCTGTGCTAAAATGCCTTACTTGGATCAGAGATTTTATGTTTAGCATTTTACAGGCTTAAACACATAATATTTATATTTTGATTGAAGCTTTCCCAAAGTTCAACCTTTAATGTGTTAAAAATTAGGAGTGTTAGTGTGGGCTTTTCAAACATTTTTGATGCTCCCAAGTTTTACTGAAAGTCAGCAGGTTTGTTATGCTACTAACTCCACAACTGCTGTACATCAATAGCCTCAACCAGTGGTGGAGACGGCTCAGCAGTAGCCCAGCTGCAGTGGCAGTCTTGCCTGACTCCTGATGGTGCCACAAGCAGACCACTACACAAAGCAGCAGCTTTGCAAATCTGAGCCTCTTAGCTAAGCTCCTAATTCTTCTGAAGTCCTCCACCAATAGATCTTGTGAGAGTTTAGGTTTTTTTCCATGTATCAGCTTCCCACACAACAAACAGGAGATAATATTCCTTTCTTCCTCCTATACTTTATGTTTTCTAGATGATAAGTTTTCAGAGTTTTTAACTTAACTAGCTAGGCTGTCCAATACCAAGAACCAGAAGGACTTAATCTTGGCTACACTGTTCAGCCCAAAAGTTAGCATCACTTACAAGTGGCACCAGAGCTCCTGACAAAAAACCCTACATATCTGTTCCTAGAGGTAATGTTGCTATTGCCAGAAACTGGCATTCAAAAAAGGTAGGCAGACAGCTTTTCTCTTTCATTGACTAAGCTGAGTCCTCTATTTCAAGACCACTTCATCATGGCAATGGAATAATGAAGTGTGGGATCACACTGTGGCTTTGTTAACCTATTTTGGTTCTCTTTCTTTCTCCAAAACCTATATGACATCCTTCTGACAACTTAAAGAACAACAGTGATAATCGTGCCAAAGAAAGACAGAAAAAAAGGATGAGAAAAAGTTGGCATCACAGGAACATAGCATGTACCCCCTCCCAACTAATTAAAGTTTCTTTTCCCTTCCCTATATTAAGGAAAAAAAAAAAAAAAAAAAAAAAAGTCCTGGCAAGTAGGCTGAGTTTGTATTAAAGGAAATTGCTCATCATAGTACAAAGAATATTTGAAACCAAATTGCAGAGTATTTGCATAATAGTTCTCGCTCTTTCTTTCCTCTCTTCTTTTTTTTTTTTTTTTATTGAAAGGAAAAGATTAGCAAGACACTAATTGTAGGGTCCCCCCAAAAAAGAAAAGAGCAGATGGCTTCTATTGGGGGGAGTAACATCTTCCTTTTTGTTTTTTTTCCTAAACATATGTGAAGAAATAAAATAAATAAATGAATAAATAGGGGCTATCTGATAGGATGATCGGAGAAGGAGCTCTGAGGAAGATTCCAATGTAAGAAATTACAAAAAGACTCTTAATTCAAGTAGTTTTTCTCACAATTCAATTACTATAGTTCTCATTCAACTGGTATGCATGGGGTCTCCCTTAAACAATTTTAGCCTCTCTTCTGCTGTCACTAGAAAATGTCACTGAAGGCCACCAGAATAAATACCTGTTGACAGGTATAAATACCCAGTTTCAGAGTGCAAAATTACTCTGCTTCATTTTGTCTGTGCCCCATTTTTCTCCTGCAGAGGCATCAGGAGATACTACTTGTTGCCCTCCTCCTCTCTGAGTAAAGGTAAGAGCTTCTCCAGGAACTTAGAGTGGGAGTACTTTTCTTTATATATTGAGGACCGATTAGAACATCGACGATACATTGTTTTTGTTTACCAAGGGACCAGCTGGCAAGCTTTGAAGCATGTGCTCCACTAGTCTCCAGCTACTTGCCATTTACAAGTCTAGAGTCCAAAGGAAAGACACTTCTGTACAATAATAAAAGCAAGCAGTGACATTCACTTCATTGCTGTGTTATGGAAAAGCACATATCCTTTCAGCAGTTTTGGGCAATGGTTCCAGAAAAAAAAAAAATAAAAATGTTGTTAATAAAATATTATGGACTGCTCTGTAATGAATTGAGACACACAACAGAGAGCAGGGAAACCTTCATTATAGATTTAAGTCTCTAATGGATACTAATTTAGAATGAATCTCGGTTTCACATAGTTACTCTCATTAGCAAAAGTATTGTTATCTCTATTGAACTAGCATCTACAGGAGAACTAAATTTGGGTTGCATCTATCTGGCACAGCATAAACACAAAGTGAAAGAGATTGCAATTGTTCTGCTAGAGCCTCATTAGACAAAACAGGTAAACAGCAACATTAAAACATTGTAAGTTAGTAGCATTTTTAAAATCTGTTCAGCAAATAGAGCCCCCATTTTCAAATCTGTTTGGACACAAAAGACCCTACAGCTACAACCTCCATGGTACTCAGGCACTCTGCAGCCTGGTTCCCAGTTACATTTTCTAAAGCACTTGATCAGGTAAGGCACCTAAACTCACAGAGTCGGCTGTCTGACACTGCCATCTTTCAGAACCAGCCTCTGCAGTATCCCACCTTTTGGTAGCCTTATGTCTGCAGATCTTGTCACTGTACTCAACGTTTACACAAATTATTTTAAAATTGCCCCAACTCTAATTTAATGGAAAGAAACGGAAGTATAGAAAAGCAGAACCTGCTATCCTCCACAGACACATAGGAGATCTACAGCTGAAGTGGGAATTGAGCCCCAGAACACTTTATCTTTCAAAAATTTTTTTTGAAGGTTGACATAAAAAAGGGGAGGAGGGGAGAGAAATTATTACGGTACAGCGCTTTATCTTTCACCCAGGAGTCAGATTATGTAACATCATGAACTCATATTGGCATCTGAGAAATGGTGACAGTTTTGAGAGGCTCCTACGGGACATCAGACACCTTCCTCCACCTATCTGCAGGAGCAAGAAACATTATCACAAGCGTAACTCCCCATCCAAACCAGCTATCTTCCTGGAGTTTGTTTATGCTGATGTCTGCTCAGGTATTAATTATCACAGCAATGCATGGCAACCACACTCAGGACAGCTATAGGCCAGCTAGCTTAGACACAGGTAGCAATTGTGGATCTCACCTTGCTCTCATCTAGTTGAAGATGTCCCTGCTCATTTCAGGGGGTGATCTAAATCACCTTTAAAGGACCCTTCCAACACATACTATTCTCTGATGCTATGATCTTTCCTCTCTCCTGAGCCTTTTGAAAGTGGTTGAATTATTGCCCCATTAAGCTCAACCCCTGCGATTTATATACCCAACTCTATGTTAAACAATCATAGTCAATAAATAGGATTAATGTTATTTTCATGCTTTACACTGATCCATCTGTCATGTGCATTTAGTAACACAATAGCATAGCCAAGAAGGGTGACTTTGTAGGTCCCACTGAGGTGTCACCAGACCTTTGTCTCTAGTTTCTGTCAGCACAGCTATGTCAATAGGGGTCTGAGAAGGTGCAATTGCTAATCCACAGTGAGATGCCAGAAGAAGCCCTCAGAGCACCTGCCAGACTGCCAAAATATGCTTAGGCAGGTGAAGTTTATTTAAGGCACAGAAGTTGGCTGTCACTGTATCGCTCAGTTACATCCAGGCTAAAAACATTTGTCAACAAAGATTATGAAGGGAACTAGCTGGTCACTTCTCACAGGCAAATTAGGTCTCCTTCATTCCCTAGATAGCTTTGGACAACCCACTTAAAATTGTTTCCTGATCTATCCATACTCTACAGTTGTGTTCAAAATGTTTTAGTATGACAGCTGCTTCTGAAAAGTAACTCAAAATCAAACTAAAGCAGGATTTTCATTTCAGCCTTCTAAGGTCAGCAAGAAGAAACAATACTCAAGATTGTGAGAAGAAAGAGTTTGCACAGGCCTCCAAGTAACACCTACAACACATCTTATGATATTTAACTTCCCCCTTTCCTGCTTTGTTGTGTAATTGCTAACAATTAGAACTGATAACTGAACACAAATGCTAGCCAGCATGCTGGTCCCTGAAGAGCATGCTTCTGTTTCTCTGACCATTTAGTTTTAAACCAGTGGACTCAGCAAGCTGGATGTGCCACTAGCGGTAAAACAATGCCATACCTCTGCCCAGGATGGTCCAGGACACAACTCTCTTCCAGCACACACCCTCATTAATTAGAACATCAGTTGAGTACATGATCAATCATCCCTGGCCAGACTGTCCCTGAGATGCTAGGAATGACACACATGTAGCTCCTGTGACCCCTGTGGTTCTGGAACGGGGTAGAGCTGACAGTATGCCATCACCCTTCAGGTCCAAAACAATGCTCTAAAGGAAATCTGAACCTCTGAATCAGTCAAGAGACCTTCCCACAGCTGCTAACAGAAGCTCTGAAACATGATAACAGGTTGTGTCATTAACAGTCCTGTACAGTGTGGGTGGTCCTGGCACCTTTTAATGTAATGCTCAATAACCTCATATTGTTGCTGAGGAAGGACTTCACCTAACAAGAGAATTAGTATTTGAAGCAATATTTATTATGCCCTTATATCAGATTTAAGTCTCTGGCTGAAGGGAAAAGATACTCTTTCCTGAGAAGTATCATGGAACTGCCCAATTCAGCAAGCACAAGGTAAATTTACTGCTCCAGATGAACACACGCATCTGATAAAGACTTCAGCCAAGCAGGGACAAAGCAAAAATCTCTGGTTTCCTAATCTTCTGCTTTCCTAACTGTTCTCACCATAAAATGCCTTCAACAAAACAACGCTAAAGCAGCCAGAAAAGAACAATCCACCTGTTTTTCCTAATAATTGTCAAGTAAATAAATGTACTTAAAAGCTGACTTCATACTGTGCTGTGCATTTTTCTGAAAGCACAAGCTGTGCTCTGTTAACGAGAGACATACTACAGTGAATACACTGCTTTTTACATTAATTCCACAATGCTTTCAATGGCTAGGGCAAACACCTGTCTGGAATGCCTGCCTGACCTGCTTCTGGGCAG